CTATACTTTTCTTTTGAGCTGCCGCATCTAAAGAAACTGCAATTTCTAGATATTAACTTGGTCTTTGAACCCCAGTATGTTTGCTGGTATTATTGTCCTAGATCCGTAAAGCCTATACTAAATTACAGGTCAAGTCACTCTAAGCTAGTGAAGAGAAGTATCGTTACTATAAGTTTGGGTTTTGCTCTGAAAAAGTCCTGCCAACACAGAATGAAAATGAGCTTTGACAGTCAAGTAAGGAAACTAGTACAAGCATGGTATCCTAATGATGTCATCACGTCCATGTGTAACAACATGATTGAAAAACTGAAATTCGATGGGAACCACTCTGGGCGTCGTGATGAGAGTAGAAAAGGTAGGAGGATAGCAGTAATTCCTTACCTTCATAAGACATCACATGAACTTAAGCAACTCGGTAATAGATATGAAGTCGGTATACTTTTCTGGGCCAAAAGCAAACTGCAGTCCATTTGTTCGCACATGCGCAGAGAGTTCCCGCAATGTCATATGAGAAACACAGCAAAAGGTTCGTGGACTGCGCAATGGGGTTTGTTTACATGACTCCTTTTAGCTGTGGTAGAGTGTACATAGGTCAGTCGGGAAGGTGCATCAATGTTCGCCTTAAAGAGCACGATTCTTCTTTGAAAACCTTGGGAACATCGCATCTCGTGGTTCATCGCAGAGAGTGCAGTTGCTATCCTCTTTTTCAGGATACTGAAGGGGTTTTTCAATTATCAATTAACTCAAGAGTTGCCGGAAGCTTTTCACATAAGAAAAAGAGGAGAACAATGCATCAGCCAGCCTTCGGTTTTGCTGCCCCGCCATGGTGGTCTAGATGCTAAGGTACTCCGCTGCTGACCCGCAGGTCGCGGGATCGAAACGCGGCTGCGGCGGCTGCATTTCCCATGGAGGAGGAAATGTTGTAGGCCCGTGTGTTCAGATTTGGGTGCACGTTAAAAAACCCCAGGTGGTCTGAATTTCCGGAGCCCCCCGCTACGGCGTCCCTCATAATGATGTGGTGGTTTTGGGACATTAAACCCCATATATCAATCAGTCATTCAGTTTTACTGCAGGATAAAGAGTTTTCTTTTCTAGATTATGTTCGAAATAATCTTTCTGCTTTTACTCTGTGTTCTCGAGGTGCCACGGGTGTACTTTTTGCCTGCACACGCATGCGTTGTTTCTTGATTGCCTGATTATATATTCTTCCCTTTCTAATAAATCGTTTAGTTGCGAGAAAGTGCTTGTCCTCTCTTCCTTTCTGTTTATTCGTGCGCTTGAACGGACAATTATACCATGCATATCCAACTAGCACAACTTTTGAATCTGTTAGAAAACACTTCCTCAGCTCCTGTGTTAGATTTAGAAAAAACAAAAGTTTCAATACCCTGCCTGAAATGACTTGCATAGGATTAGCACCTCATCCCGGTAAGCTTCCAGTACTTCGATCTAGAACACCATTGCTGGAATGTCGGCACTCACATCTTTAGTTTGACGGAGGTGCCGTTATTGCCCCAAATACATCTCATCACAAGGTTTTCAAAGCGATCATAGTATTCGGCCTCATAAAAATAAAAAATGGCCCTGTCATTTCTAAATAAATAAAATATAACAGTCAACATTACAAACATCATGACTGACTAGTGCAACAGCATTGGCAGTGAAAATATTAAACCATAATGGAAAAAAAAATTACTGCAAAAGCAGCAAGCTGCATGCGCTTTGCGCGAGAATCTTAAAAGCCGCGCGCATCCACATTTCGCCAACTTTCGTCTTGGGTGACACCGCCTTTAAAGCTCAGAGCATTAGCCCGTAAGGAGGGTACCGGCTAGAAAGCATGAATGAGTCCCTGCCAGCTACATTACATTGCTGCGTAGCCTATATGGTAAAAGGTAAAAACAACGCAAACTAAAGGAGATGGACAAAGAAATAACAGATAGGATGATCACTAACAGATGTCAGCGCTTGTCCCCTTTGCTATTTCTTCGTTTGTCTCCTCTAGTTTGCGCTGTTTTTACATTTTACCATGTTTGACCAACTAGTCCAACGAAACACACAAGTGGAATTCATGCCTAACTTATCCGAGTTCCAATAATAATGTGAAAACCATGGTGGCCGAGAGGCGTTTCGAGCGCATGCATTTGCTTCCATTATACTGAGTAAAAAAAAGAATGCGATTGCACCGAGGGAGCCGTAGTTGGCACTGTGAATGAACACTTAATGCTTCTTTTTGTAGTTGCCCTCGCTTTTAGTGTATATTAGCTGTTGATGTTAGCGCCAGAATAATAGCCAAAAAGTAGCCAAGTAGCGAATACAATTTTTTTGTCACCGCGGCCTTTTAGAAGTAGCCGATCTGGCGTAAAGCAGCCAAATCTGGCAACCCTGGGAGTGTTGGAGGAGGTTGGCTTTATGAGGCTAGCTAAGTGACGTCATGTTACGTCCAGCAATATAATTGATAGTTCAAAAGTACCTCTCTTTATTATTTCCAGCATTATTTTTGCATCGTGGAGTGAAATAAGGAGTACTCCTTAGATGATTGGCTCCAGAAAATTTGCGATGAATCAAAATGTTTCTAGTGCCTCACAAGAGCCCCCCAAAATAATTATGTCCTTCAGTATACTGCAATTTGCTTTCCAGAGTACTCCAGCATGGGAAGTTAGCGGCCTCCCCAAGGTGGTCTAGTGGCTAAGGTACTCGGCTACTGACCTGCAGGTCGCGGGATCAAATCCCGGCTGTGGCGGGTGCATTTCCAATGGAGGTGGAAATGTTGCAGGCCCGAGTACTCAATTTAGGTGCACGTTAAAGAACACCAGGTGGTCGAAATATCCGGAGCCCTCCACTACGGCATCTCTCATAATCATATGGTGGTTTTGGGACGTTAAACCCCACTAATCAATCAATCGAAGTTAGTTGCTCCAAAGTGCACCCAGGTGCAAAATTACCTTCTCCAACATGGAAAATTTTGCTACTCTAAAGTGCTCCACAATGAAACTTTTGATGCTTCAAAAACTGCTCCAAATCAGAAGAACTCAATAGCAACACTGCATTTAGGTATGTTTTAATGCGATAGCCTCAAGGAGTTCACTTTGCAAAAATTCTGGCATCGTCGTCATTGGTTGTGAGCAAAAAATTATCTTATGCATGACCGAAAAATCAAGAATGATGGGAATCAAATAAATAATGGAAAAGTCTTGGGCAGAGTGTCAGAGTGAGGACCGAACACGGGTCGTTTGCGTGGCTAGAGGATGTTCTAGCGCACGGCCCTGCGTCTGCCTTGAAATGCAATGAAGGTAACTTTCATACTTTAGAAACACACACGTTCGGTATACATGCTTTACAACACAGCATGAAATATTACAGAATAATGCGTGGTACAAGAGTACATTATCATCGGGCCTCAGAACATTTGATTATAGTACTGACTAGGTGGTTTGAAGCCGGTCACCCACTACAAAAGGCACACACGCTACTGCAAATATTCCCTTAAGGCCTAGTGGTGGGTGCATAGCAAGTTTGAAAAGGTTTCATGCACTAAGTATTTGAAGTACGCACTAGGATTAAGACAACGCTGTCGCATTGAACTCTTAAAAGGGCCCTGCAACACTCTTTGAGCATCATCAGAAAATGCTGCCGATTGGTAGTAGAGGCTCCTGAGAACTGGCGAGCCAAATGTTATAGCGCAGCACGCGACGTGAAATTCACAATAAATTATCAGTCAGCCAAGCATTGCTTTCTCTGTCCTCAACAAATGACGGAAGATGCTCAAAAAATCATACGTAGGATGCCCATCTATCAGCCATTGGCTGATTTGAACAAGCCGCGCTTGGTTTTTACAGAGATCACTGCGAAAGACCGTCACTTGTTCATGTGTGCACGTGCAATCGCATTGAAAAAGCCGCGTATTCGAAGAGAAAAAAGAAGAAAGCATTCAAGGTCACGAGGCGCGCATGACATTTTTTGTTTGCCCCTCTCATCCCTCCCTGCTTATCTTCCAGCACTTTCGTCGAGGCGAGAGAATGTGATTGCATCGTGTGACAAATCTTTGTAACTCCGCTCGTACTGAACAAATTCTTCAAATCTTTGCGACGTTGAATTTGTGAGGCAATACACTTTTCCAGTGAATTTCATGGTTACTCAAAAAAGTGTTTCAGGGCCCCTTTGAAGGGTTCCCTAATTTTTTTAACCTCTACTCGAAACTTAACACTGTAATGGTGATGCTTACTCACTGGGAGGTGCTGCCGCCTCCTCAGACTTGTAAGAAGCTTTGAAAATTATTGTGCTACCTTTTTACTTAGAGAACCAATTTGTAGTGCCAGCGCGTGGCGCGGTCTCTTTCCGTGTTTTCAGTTTAGCCACGTGATCACAGTGAAGACGCATGAAACTTGCAGGGGTTGTCCTTACTGCTCTTAGCTTGGTTATTACCAGGTATTCTCGCTCTTTTTGATTGCCGAGCTGCCCAAGGCAAACACACCCAGTGAAGATGCCAGCACAACTCGTCACTGCAAGAAGAGAACAGAGACATGCCATGTGTGCAGACGGCGATAAAGCGCTGTACGTAGACCCATGTTTCAAAGAATACTATGCTCTTAAACACTTATTGAACATTTTGCAGTTCTGAGCAATGCAGATACCGAAAAACCGTTCGTTGTATTCTTCCCTACATGCCCATTTCATAAAACTAAAAAACTCCAGTAATTTGGTAAAGCTTTTTTTTTTTTTTTCAGAAAAAGATTAGGTTGTGCTTACCTTGAATGTTATTCTGCTGTTCTTTTATGACAAATTCTGCGGGCTGCAGAATGACATAAACATTTGATTGATGCTGTTTGATGATTGTAATTACAGCGAAACCCTTTTGTAATGGGTCGATCGCTTTGAACCATTTGCTCGTGACGCTCTTAGCATGGTGTTGCTTCTTCTACACAATATTACATCAGCTCACCTGGCATGACGCCTGTCCTTTTCTCAAAAATAGAACATTGACTCACTTCGTTGTTGTGCAGATTCTGCTGGATGTTCCCTGCACCAATGACCGCCTATCAGTGGCCGAGGATGACAACAACTGGTTTGGCCAGAAGCGGCTGCAGGAGCGCCTCAGGCTGCCACAACAGCAGATGGACATGTTGTGCCAGGCACTGACCCTACTACGCCCCGGTGGCAGCCTGGTGTACTCCACCTGCTCCCTCTCACCTATTCAGAACGATGGGGTTGTGCACATGGCACTGCAACAACTCAAGAACGCCACGGCCCAGTACGTCATTGTAAACCTGTCCGAGGCCTTTGCCTCGCTGCCCTTCCGCTTCTTTGATGGTTGTCGCTATGGCCAGCTTGCACTTCCATACCTGCCCAACAATGTGGGACCCCTGTATGTGGCCCGCATTGAGCGCATATCCTAATGTTTGTGACAGAATACTTTAGCAAAGCCTTTTGAGAACATAGAGCTGTGATGATTTGAGATGGTGTAGTCGACCTAAGTTTCAATTGTTTGGTGGCACTGTAGCTTTGGAATGAGGATGACGCCTATGGCATGGTCTGCGAGCGCCTGTGAGGCTGGCTCTAGAAACATTGGCCCTTTATTTTCATTCCAATAGCAAGAAATTAAAAGGTTAACTTGTGACAACAAACCAGCAATTAAGGACTAAAAGATGACGCTACATGTTATGCATTGCCTTGTAGTTTTTTCTTGTTCCTTTAATGTTTTATTTGTGAAATGAATGACCACACAATTGATTTTTTGAAGAAGTGGGATGCTTTCTAGAGTTTCTGGTAAGCAAGTCATTAGATTGAAGTAGCCAGAAATTAATTTCTTTTATCAGATTTTTTTTGCCGTATATATAAATACTTATTGGCTCTAGCAGATTGGGACTTTGGATCGCATTAAAAGTCCTATATACTAAAATTTCTTATTTTAGGCTTTAGACCCTGTGCAAACCTTCTTTTTTCTTTTACTGGATGATCGAACTTCCGTTGCTTTTTCTGACAAATGAAAAAATATGATTTTCCTGCTATGAGGCCCATGACAGAAGCATCTCAGGAACATAAAAGTGACATTTCGTTAATGTGGTCAAAAAAATTGCCAGAGTTGGCTTCTAAGGCATTGGATGGCAGACGGACAATGGTTGGTAGAATAATCAATGATAAACTAATCTTTTCTCAATGTATATTTAAGTTGCCTAATCAGAATACCACCTTGCATTTAATTCATACTTGCTTATTCCATTCAGAAATATTATCGTACCGCCGTGGTGGTCGAGTGGGTAAGGTACTGAGCTGCTGACCCACAGGTCGCAAGATCAATCCCAGCTGCGGTGGCTGCATTTTCGATGGAGGCGAAAATGCTGTTAGTCCGTGTGCTCAGATTTGGGTGCACGTTAAAAAACCTCAGGTGGTTGAAATTTTCAAGCCCTCCACTACGCCGTCTCTCATAATCTTTTGGGACGTTAAACCACATATCAATCATCAGCAATATCACCTGCCTTTGTTTCTTTCAGCCAAATATTTGCATTTATGGTTATCTTTCAACTAGTCTGGAAGGCCAGTCCAGATGTCTGGAGTACGCCATTCCCGCTGACTTTGAGCATATTTTAAAAAATAAAGCAGAGGTGTGCAGACATGCACTTGACTCCTTGCCGAAACCCCGCGTTTTTTGCTTGTGTGCTGTCACCACTGTGACATCTGGCAGACTAGTGACGTGTGCAGTGGGGCTCCCTGCAAAGCATGGCTGTATACATCGAATATGGATGGTAGCATCCGTGCGTGGTGTCAATAGGTGATGTGCAAAGCTCCGACAATGCCATCTGCTGCCACGGGTCGGAAGCATTGACGGGCAGGCAGTGTTGTCGCAAGCATATTGGGCGCGAGGCCCACCACTGGAGGCACAAGCGCTGCAATCGCTGTGACGTGCAGGGTTGGATCACATCATCTCGCCTCGCTCTGGCAAAGGAAAGCTGGCAGTTGGATGCGTTGTTTTTAATGGCAACTTCACGGTGTTTTCATTATTGAACAGCATTGTATTGCACTGACTTCGTCTACGCATACTTCCGCAGACTACACAATGCGGAAAGTTGCCGTAAACGTTACCGGCAGCGTGCCAAAGTGCACTATGTACGCGACGCCACTGTTGGTGCTCCTATGCTAAAGCTAAAGCCTACTGTGCTGTGCTAAAGCTTACTTCTCTCCCCACAATAATTTTCACCGCAGCCTGCACCACCACCAGAACGTTCACTGTGCGTGTAGTGAATTCCTTGTATGTGCACGATGTCGGTCAAGGAAGGCACAGTTCGATAAGAGTACACTGTATTTATTTACACTATTTATAGGCACTGAAAAAGACACTTCTGAACATCGCAAAGAAAACATCTGAGCGGTCGCCCATGCATGTTTACTTGAGCGCTCTTTCTTTTCGACTGTATGATCCGCCACCGCTTGTCCCTCTGGAGCACCCCTTTTTCGCTCCACAGGCCATTCTCTTTCTCCCAAAATGCACGGAGTAGCTGCTTTCACTTCTTCCAAAGCATACACGGGGAAGACGCGTTGAATTCCCACGTCAGTATTTCTGCTTGCAGAAGGCTGTAAGGTATCTGTCAGCAAGGAAACTGGCTGGAGTTAATGGGACACTGTCATTCTAGTCGTGCTGCATTTGTGTTAGGGTCAAGAATCGACAATAGGTTGTACTTCTGCCAGTGCTGTCGAAAGCTCAACAAAATCAAAACACTGGCGGCCTACAACCTTCTTCGAAGCTGTTTTTATGCTGAGAACAAGACATTGATAGAAACCGTCTTACCACGGTGCATGTTCGATGAATTTGCACTCCATGTTGGCATTAGCAAGAGAGAGAGAGAAATAAATAAAAGGAAGAGACAGGGAGGTTTACCTAGACGAACTGGTTTGCTACCCTGTACGGGGGTGGGGAAATGGGTCAGAAAAAGGATATAGAGAGATATAAAATAAATCCGAAAAAAAACCACACGCACACACATTCAGGGAGTTCCGATCACAGTCGTTTGGACAGGCCGGTTAAACACAAGAAGCGCAGGAGCGCCTTCACAGCCTTCTTCTGCAACATAAAGTCCTGTCGGCAGCGCAGGATTCTTTCTTCCGAAAGAGGCTGGTTGTCCAGTTCATCTAGTGCATTACAGAGTGACTCTCCCTGCGAGCAGTATTGTGGACATTCACACAGAATGTGCCGAGTTGTTTCATCACTGCCACAATGGTCGCATGCAGCAGTGTCAGCCATTCCTATGCGGAACGCGTACGCATTGGTAAATGTGACGCCCAACCATAATCTGCACAGCATAGTAGCGTCTCGTCGGCGTAATTCCGGAGGAATTCGAAGACTCAGAGTTGGGTCTAAAGTACCTAACTGTGCATAGATGAAATGTGACTCGTTTCATTGTGACGTGGTGCGCTTGCGAGCAAGCATGCGGAGTTTCTCTGCAGCGTCAGTTCTGGAAAGCGGAATTGATATTTCATCGCTTTCAGTATGGGCAGAACGGGCAGCTCGATCAGCCCATTCATTGCGAATTATACCACAATGACTTGAAAGCCATTGAAAGGCTATTTAATGTCCTTTCTCAATGAATTGGTGAGTCTTTTCTGCAATATCAAATACCAGCTGTTCGTACGGGCCGTGGCATAAAGGTGATACAAGGGATTGCAGTGCCACCTTTGAGTCACTGAAAATTGTCCATTTTTGTGGCTGTTGATCGCTGATGAATTCCAATGCGGCACGAAGAGCTGTGAGTTCTGCTCCTGTTGATGTCGTAAGGTGGGATGTCTTGAATTTTCTTGTCATGTCTTTTATCGGTATAACAAATGATGCCGTTGAACTCTTCTGTAAAACAGAGCCGTCGGTGTATACGTGTATACAGTCTTGATATGTCTCGTATAACAAGAGCAGAGCAAGCTGTCTAAGAGCAGGTGACGACACATCTGCTTTTTTCTGGATGCCAGGTATAGTTAGCCTGATGTTAGCCTGAGTCAGGCACCAGGGAGGAGTCGAAGGCCTGGCGGCGGGCGTGAAGCATGTTGGCAAAGAATCGCGATATGTGGTGACCATTTGGCAAAATGACGAACGTCATGGCATTAGCAAAATTCGCACAGTTTCCGGGGGCCGGAGAGTCTTTTAAGACAGTGCGAACTTCCTTGAAGTGCACCCAAAATGCCTGGCCGTTGTCCGAATACAACACCCTGCACAACCCCCTGCGCGATACAAAGCGGCATAACGCCCACAGAAAACTGACGGCACTCACGTCAGAGACCAGTTCAAAATGCGCGACCTTCATTACAGCGCAGGTAAAAAGCGAAATGTACGTTTTCACTTCCTTATAGCCTTTTTTCGTGAACCGATGTCTGGCAATGTCAATGCCAACCACCACGATAAAGTGGGAGAAGTCCCGTCAACGGCTGGGTGCCTGCAGCACTGTACCGCCTACAGGCACAACACTTTTCACAATTTGATGTCCACTTTCTTAGTTTTCATTCTGTGACATCGTGTGATGATCCTCAAGTTCTTGCTGCTCTGCTATTGAAGAACTAGCCCATGGGGCATATAAAAATGGTATGGCCATCGCTTGCTACCTTAGCTGCAGCTGTCTCATTTCAGCCTCCTACTCACCCATGAGGCCGGGGGATTTCACAAGCCTCTAGCTCAAAGGTTGGAACCGTCTTTCTGCGAAGGAGTGATTGTTTGATAGTTGTACATTCTCTTTCCAAAGAAGTTTAGCTTTTTAACATTCGTCAGCCATCTTTAATGTCTCTGTTCAAGTGCATATTTGGGGAGTCTGTCGGTGTGTCAGACATGCCAGCACCCTCAAACTTCCAGAAGAGTGGGCTTCCTTTCCTGGTCAGTCACCGAAGGGAGGAAGGAAAATAGGAGGAAAAGAATGGCAGGGAGGTTATTGTCAGTCACCAAAGCTCTTAACACGACTGCACAGTTGACTGCTTTGATACGGTGGTGTGACCTTGTACTGCCCAAGCAAAGACGCTATCAATAGCTGTTAATTTTCTGCTCAGTTTTCAGGCATAAGCTATCAAAACCATTCAGCAAATCAACTGTGGAATCTTGCTCGAATGGATCATCGCCAAGAGGCAGTGACAGTTCCCACAAGGTCTCCTTTGTTTGCTCGTGGGGACAAGGAGTGGTCTGCTCACATATGACTGGCCCTTCCAGAGCATCAAATACGTACTCCTCTTTAGAAGTACTTTTTGAAACCACTACTTTGTGAAAACTGTTCTGTTTTGCTGTCCCCCCAAAACATCGATTGTGACAACTTTGGTTCCAAGGAGCTTACAACCAAGTTTTCGTGAGCACTCTTCAGTGTAAACGTTCTTTGGCTGCCACTGTGAAAAAATATTCGAGAAAGTTTCTTCGTTTTAGCTCTCTTATTCCATGCTGTGACAGTTAGCATTATTACCGTATGTGTTGTGCCAACAACTTTGACTTCAGATGCATGCAAGCTCACTTGTTCATTTGCTATAGTTTTGGTGTTCATGTCTTTTTGGTGGCTGGCAAAGGTAGGATTGCACATCGACGTGGCATGCTGATGGCTGCACTTTTTGCACGCAATTCTGACCTTACACTGCCTTGCCATGTGTCCCTTTTTTGTGCAGCGGAAGCACACTCCTTTAGAAGAAAGAATCTCCGTTTTCTCCGCCAGTTTCAAATCAGAGTTGCAGTACTGACTCTCATGATCTGTCGATTCGCAAATCTCGCATGCGACTTTAAAGGCTGATCCATGCAGAGTTGCAGTGAATGATGCCAAACAACTCAATCGCTGGGGCCTCACATTCTGACGGTCGAAAGCAAATGCAGGCTTACCCAGTGAATTACCCGGTCGATGATCTTGTGTCCTTTCACAGCTGTCCAACTCTAATCAGAAGCAGCAAAGCAAGGCGATGAGCATCATCCAATGTTCGGTTGCTGATCCGGCTGATGAAGCGCTACCATCTGTGTATGAAGTACTATCCTCCTGCTGCGCCTTTGCCTGAGACCGATAATAGCTAAAGATGATTTCTTGCGGAAGGGCCCGCAGCAGCACTGGGTAGAGCATGGTGTTGTAGCTGTCCTCCCCAACGCTGAGTGCCTTTAGTCCACGTATGTGCACTTGCAGGTCGTCGTAGAGCCGTTGCAGGTCGCGAACATTTTGGGCTGATGTCACGGGGATTCAAGTCTACGAGTCCTAGCATATGATCTTGAATTAGCGCCGTTGGATTTGGGAACCACTGTGTCAAGATGTCGATGGCATCCATGTAACATTCAGCCTTTGCTTACAGTCCTGCTATTGCTCCATCAGCTTTTCCTGACAAAAGTGCCTTGAGATAGTTGAACCAGTTGATAGCGGACAGTTCAGGGTTTTGGTGAATGGCTGCCTCGAACTGCTCCCAGAATGGCTGCCAGCATTTCCTTTTGCTGCCGAATTTAATCAACTCCAATTTAGGAAGTCTCGTCGTTTGAGATGGAATACGAATTTCTACAGCTGGCTGATTCAGAAAAAGATTTTTCAATTGTGCTTTCTCAGTGAAGCTTCGATTTATTGCTTTCAATTAGCTGAAATAGCTGGTAATTTTATCGTCGCTAGCACCTGTTCGAACTCCGCGTTTCCGTCATCGTTTGATAAGTGCGCTCCGATGGCGG